AAGTCTGCGGGGGGAGACGAAGTGTTTGGGGGAAGACAGATAGCGAGATCGATGGGCGTCAAACGGCGCGAGACCGCGCACTCTTATAGACGAGCATCTACCGCAGCTGAATGGAGAGAGACGCAGTGATATGCAGTGACGCCCTTTGACGCGGAAACACGTGAGATGAAAAGTCCGGGTTACGCCGTCGCCGAGTGCACCAAAGGCCCATCGGCGTCACGGATGTTGGGACGGCCACCATAAGGCACCTCCCTCTGGGTGCATGATAAGCTAGGCAGGACAGTAAGACAAGCCCAAAACTTCCACAAAGCGATCGTTATCGAGGACCCCGCGTCTTGGCGGTGTGAATAGCAAGCAGGCATGTTAGTAGTTGCGAATAACCTTCAACCCGTCGCAGTTAGAATCTAGGCAGAAACCCCCAGAGAGCAGAGAGGGGGTGCGTCGAAGCGGGGGGTTGAGACAAGGGCAGGCTGCGAGTGAGATGTGGCTGCAGTAGTGCCGTGGGAGCTGAGCCGGGACAACTCGGTGTCTAAGACGGCGGTTTGTCCATGGGTGCGCATGTCTGTGCTCGGCTTGCTTGAGTTTAGGGGCATCGGGTTTGGCGTCGACGTACTAGATCGCGGCAAGGGGCCTGGGTCTGGAGGAACTCGGCATGAAAGCGATTAGATGGGCCGGCTCAATGCTGATGGCCGCTCAAGGGCATCTTAATTACACCGTTCAAGCTGGTTTCTGTCTTCAATCCCATTTGTGTAATCTGAAGCCTGAACGCACACCAAACGCAGGTTCCAGTTCTATAATCGCTGTCCTTCAATTGTGAATTAAACTCGGCACAGCACCGCTGAGAGCCAGCCTATAGTGCACTTTACTTTCCATACACACCAAGACTGCCTTGTCACACATTGGTTTAATCGTTGAGTCATTTGATCTTCGAAAAGGCTGTCCAGCACGAGCTATTCAAAAAGGAAGAGGAAAAAAAACATTCATCAGTTTCAATGTTCTTGACCATCGCAAACTACAAACACCAGTGCCGCCTGTCTCCTCCGCCGAGCGATCAAACCGGGTATCATCAACAGGAATGCCTAAACCCCCGATCCTTCCCATCCCCGTTACCACGCCGTCCGGGCGAAGAAACCCTTGGGCCACGTGCGCACAGCGTACTTGCGCGCCTCGTCAACGCCGAGCACGAACAGTCCGAAGCTCATGGGCAGGAACCAGTACTCGACAGGCACAACAGCCGTGCCAACGACGCGCTGGAACTCAGGCACATACAGCCAGAAGAGGGCCATGCCGAGAGCGAAGAGCACGGCCGGCAGCAGGTAGATGTTGCGGGTGCTCGCGTTGAAGAAGGGCGGGTGCTGGAAGAGTGACAGGCGACGGGTGCGGACAGCCAGCAGGTTGAACCACTGCATGACGACGAGGTTGACAAAGTAGATGGAGCTCGCGACGTTGAGCTTCTGCGCGTAAAAGTCCTTGTCAATCGTGTCGGGCAGCACGCCAAAAGAGAACCAGAGGTCCGAGAAGTGGATGCCGTTGCGCTCGAGGTACCAGAAGGCCATGGCGAACGAGGCCAGCGTCTCGAGCATGCCGACGACGCCGTAGGCCTGCGCGATGAGCTTCCAGTCGACGAGACGGTCCTTGCCGGGAACGCGAGGCTTGCGCACGAGCACGTCGGCCTCGGGCGCCTCGTAGGCGAGCGCGATGGCGGCAGCGGCGTCGGTGAACAGACAGATGATGATCATGAGGAAGCTGCTGAGGATCTGCGGGAGGCCGAAGAGCACGTTGGCCATGACGGGCCAAAACTCGCTGAAGCTACCAGCAGGGAGCAGATAGGCCACCGTCTTCTTGAGGTTGTCAAACATCATGCGACCGTAGCGCAGCGCCTCGACAATGCTTGCGAACGTGTCGTCGAGGAGCACCATATCGGCCGCCTCGATGGCGACGTCGCTGCCCGAGCCCATGGCCACTCCTACGTCGGCGGCCCGCAGAGAGGGAGCATCATTGACGCCGTCACCCGTCATGGCCACCGTCTGCTTGCGCGCCTGGAACTCGCGCACGATGCGCAGCTTGTGCTCGGGCGTCGTACGAGCAAAGACAATCTCCGTGTAGCTCGTCAGCTGATCCCACTGTGCGTCGTTGAGCGTGATCAGGTCAGGTCCAGACAGTACAATGGCGTTGCGCGGGATGTTGGGCTCATCGCCACCGCTGCCGACAAACGCTCCCTTGAGCGAGGGGTCCACGGTCGTCACACGCTCGAGGGCCGATACGCTGTCGATTTGCGAGGGAGGATACGTGATGATGCCGCACTCGGTGGCAATGGCCTGGGCCGTCAGGGCAAAGTCGCCCGTCACCATGAAGATGCGGACACCAGCGCCGCGCAAAGTCTCGACGACGTCAGGAATCTCAACGCGAGGGGGGTCAACGATGCCGACGAGGCCGACAACGGTCAGGCCGGACTTGGCCTGTTCGTTGATGCCCGCCTCGAAGGAAGGGGACATTTCAGAACCGAGAGTCGAGCGAGAAACAACCTTGCGCGCCAGAAGGATGACACGGCGACCCTGGGCCGACCATTGATCTTTGGTCGTCTCGAGGCTAGCCCTCGCAGCCTGGTCAAGGTCGCGAACGCATCCTGTCGGGCTGACATAGTGCGTGGCGCGCTGCAGGAGAATCTCGGGGGCACCCTTGATGGTCAACAGGATATCGGCAGGCTCAAACACGGCAGCCGTGTCCGAAGGTAGGGACATTGACTTTCCATCAGGATGCACAAGGCCGAGCGCCCTGATCATGTACTTGTTCTTGCTGTTGAAGGCAAGCTCGTACTTTGTTTGCCAGCATCGACGGAGTTCGGCGACAGAACCTAGCTGCTCGGAGAAGCGGAGGATGGCTTGATCCGTGGCATCTCCGTAGATGGTGCGCTGCTCGACTGGCAAGCGACGAGTTGCGGCGTCAAACTCGGCAGCGTTACACAGGCCGGCGAGGGAACGAAGCTGGTCAAGGGCGTTGTGGGTTCCCGACGGATTCTGTGCCTGGTTGAGGACAAGGGCATCGTGGGCCTGCTTCACCGACATGCGTTCGTTGCCAAGAGCGCAGTCGATGACGGTCATCTTGTTCTGCGTCAGGGTGCCCGTCTTGTCGGAACAAATGACGGACACGGAGCCAAGGGACTCAACCGTCTTGAGAGACTTGCAGAGGATCTTGTTCTTGCGCATCATGTTGGCACTGATGGTCATGCTCGCTGTGACAGCCACGGGAAGACCCTCGGGAATAAAGGCCACAGCCACCGATACGCAGGATATGATGAGATTGGGAACGTTGATCCAGTCGGGATAGTCTCGTCGAAGCCAAGAGGCCCTGATATCTGTTAGTCTGATTTTTTTTCCATGCTATCTCTCTGTGAAGGTCAAGAA